TGGTTTTTTTTTTGTTTTTTTTTTTGTTAATTGAAAGTTTTACAATTTTTTAATTTTCTCAGATCTAAGGCAAAGTACCCAGTAGTTGAACAAGTTTCAAAGTAAAAGGTATTCAAACTTAACTTTTTACTAAATAAAAATATATTTTTAATTTGAAAAGAGTAGGTAATTCTCATGAAAATATATATGTGATGTATTGATATATCACCAGATATTTATATTTTTAATATTATAAATAATTCGCTCATTATAATTAAATTATCATTCATAAATTATTAGTTTTTATCGTTCAAAAAAATTATTAATAAAACAATTGATTATTATTTTTTAATTAATAAAATTTTGTTAGAATATAAATTATAGAGATAAATTTTTTATTTTGTCATGAAAAATTTATTAAAAAATTAAAATTTTTCAGATAAAAAAATAACTAAAATTTTAATAAATTTTTTCGTAAAAAAATTTATTAAAAAAATTTCTAACTCTAATTTTTCAGAAAAAAAAAAATGGCTGATCCAGGACGTGGACGAGGTGGAGCAGGCCGAGGAGCGGCCTTGCTCGCCTTGTTAAAAAAAGCACCCGAACCGGAAGTGGGTGAATCAGCACCAACTCCTCCAGTGGCTGAAGCTCCACAACCACCTGTAGCACACCAACCTGAGCCTCGAGCCGCAGAACCAGCAAAAGGACGAGGCCGAGCTTCTCTGATGGACATCGCGCGTCAAATGTCGTCAGCCCCTGGTGAAACTTCGACGTCTTCTCTTCCGACACCTCTCTCAGTGTCAACATCAGCGCCTCTGGCAGGTCGTGGTGCAGGTCGCGCTACTTTGCTCAGTCTGGCTCAAAAAATAAGCCCACCTGGAGAACCCAGCAAACCTCCTCCAGCTGCTGCTCGTTCTGAACCTAGATCAGTTGGACCTGGTGGAGATGCACAGATTGAAGCCTCTGTTGCTGGTCTTAGTTTGGATTCCAGCAGCTCTCGTGGACCTATTATCCGTCAAGGATCCGATGGAACGCCGTAAGATTTTTATTTTGATTTTAAATAAAAATAAATATTTTTGTTTTGAATAAAATAATTAATTAATTAATTAAAAAATATTAATTAATTGAAAAATTTTTTTAAATAATATTTTTATCTTGTAATTTATTTATTTTTTTTTTTTTTTTTTTTTAGTATTGACATCATGTCTAATTACATCAACATTAAAATTGACCCCAGCAAGGGTATTCATCGGTACGAGTGTAAATTTCATCCAGAAACCGATTCTCCTCGTCTGCGTAATGCAATGTTGAATCAACATTTGGAGTTTTTGGGAAAAACTAAAGTTTTTGATGGCGTTATTTTGTTTTTGCCTCACAAGCTTGAACAGGAAGTAAGTTTATATTATCCATCTTGGCTTTTCCAAAAAAAAAAAAATATTACACAGAAAAAAAAATTTTCTTGAATCAAGTATATAATTTTGAAGAACTTAGGGTAGTACGAGCACCAAGGCAATTTTTAATAACAGGCTTGATTTTTTTTTTTAATATGAAGTTTAAATATGTCAAAAAAAAAAAAATTCGAAAATTTAAAGGATATTGCCCGATTATTTAAATAAATAATTAACTTTGAAGCTGAGCAATTTAACATTGGTCTAATGGGGGTACTCTCCAAACATATATTTCTGTATTTTTCTCGTAAAACTGTCAGTTTAAAAAAAAACTTATGAATGAAAGTAAATATATTAGTGATGAATCTAATTCAAAAAAATTTACACTTGTCCGACTATTAAAATTGTATCAATTGAAAGAAAAAATTAATTTCGCCATTAGCCAATGTTAAATGTATATCTATATATCGAGAAAAATCATATGGTTACTGCTCTCCTCTTGCCGCGCTCATAAAGAGCTTTCATTTGAGTACCTACATGCATTTTGATATATTTTTCATACACACATGTATATAATATATATTTTTATTTTTAAGATATAAGCTCATCCCGATGTTACACTCATCAAGAGCTTTCATTTGAGTACCCACATGCATTTTCATATATTTTTCATATATTCATATATATATAAATATATCAAATATATGAAAAATTGATGTGGGTATTCAAATGAAAGGTCTCGATAAGTATAACATCAAAATGAGCTTATATCTTTAAAAATGTAAATAATTCACAAGATATCTGTTAAAATGCCCTGTACTTTCTTAACTATTGACGTTTTTAAAGATATAAGCTCATTTCGACGTTACACTCATCAGGAGCTTTCATTTGAGTACCCACATGCATTTTCATATATTTTTCATATATACATATATATAATATATATAAATATATGAAAAATTGATGTGGGTACTCAAATGAAAGGTTTTGATGAGTGTAATATCAAGATGAGCTTATATCTTAAAAAATATCAATAGTTCACAAGATATTTGTTAAAATGCCCTGTACTTTCTTGAATATTGACATTTTTAAAGATATTAGCTCATTGCGACGTTACACTCATCAAGAGCTTTCATTCGAATACCCAACATGCACTTTCATATATTTTTCATATATACATATATAAAATATATGAAAAATTGATGTGGGTACTCAAATGAAAGGTTTCGATGAGTGTAACATCAGGATGAGTTTATATCTTTAAAAATGTCAATAATTAAGAAAGCTTATATCTTAAAAAAATATCAATAGTTCACAAGATATTTGTTAAAATGCCCTGTACTTTCTTGAATATTGACATTTTTAAAGATATTAGCTCATTGCGACGTTACACTCATCAAGAGCTTTCATTCGAATACCCACATGCACTTTCATATATTTTTCATATATACATATATAAAATATATGAAAAATTGATGTGGGTACTCAAATGAAAGGTTTCGATGAGTGTAACATCAGGATGAGTTTATATCTTTAAAAATGTCAATATTTCCCAAGATACAAGGTAATTTCCTAATTATCTATCTAGAGATACATTTTCGAATGCAGCCTACTTATAATAAATTGAATATCGATAATAATGAAATGAAACCTTGAAAAGGCACACTTTGCAATGACACTAAATTCCACTAAAGCCGATTTTATAAAATTTTTCTTATCCCCTTAAAAATATAAACTAAACACAAACTTATTAACAATTAATTTTTCAGAGAACAGAACTGGAATCAGTTCGCAGAGACGGTACAAAAGTAACCGTGACAATAATCTACCAGCGCCAACAACGCGCAGATTGCGCCGAGAGCATTCAATTCTTTAACATCCTTCTGAACCGAATCCTCCGAATGTTGAACATGATCTGCATAAACCGCAACTACTTCAACCCGCGAGCGGCTCACAAAATCGAGCAGCACCGAATGGAGCTCTGGCCGGGATACGTGACAGCGATTGAAGAAATGGAAGGAGGATTAAAACTGAACATCGACGCGTCTCACAGAGTAATGAGAACCGACACAGTCCGGGACTTCATCCAGGACATCTACAAGACGACTCACGACCGCGGAAATTTCAAAGAAACTATTTTTAAAGAGATCTGCGGAATGACAATCCTTACTCGCTACAACAACGCCACCTACCGGATCGACGACATCCTCTGGGACAAGAACCCCACTCTCCAGTTTGATTACAAAGGAACGCCCACTACCATCGCTGCTTACTTCAAGTCTCACTGGAATATTGAGATCAAGGATCTCCAGCAGCCGCTGATTCTCCACCGTGCTAAGAAGAAGATCTCTCAGGGTGGAACTCGCGAGGAAGAGGTTCTCTTGGTTCCAGAAATTTGCTACCTCACTGGGCTGACTGACAAAGTCAGGAATAACTTCAGAATCATGAAGGACTTGGCTCAGGTCACTCAGGTCCAGCCGACTGAACGTCGCGGAGTTATCAGAAAGTTCATCCAGACTGTCAATGATGAGCCTGCTGCCAAGCAGCTGCTTCTTGACTGGGGACTCTGCTTGTCTGATGATATTGTTAGGCTTAAAGGACGTGTCTTGCCGGCTGAGAAGATCTACTTTGGAAACGCCAAGGAATTCACGGTCACTGAGAAAGCTGACTGGGGCGCTATGGCCACTCGCAATCAGGTTCTCTCGCCGGCGAGTCTGCAGAAATTCTGCATTGTTTATGTTCAGAAGGATGAACGGGTTATCAATGAGTTTGCTAAGATTCTGAAGAATGTTTGTGGAACTATGGCTATCAAGTGTGGAGAGCCCGTTAAAATTCCACTTAAGAATGACTCTGCTCAGAGCTATATCACGGAGATTAGGAAGATGATCAATCCTTCTTTGGATATGGTCATTGCTGTCACTCCGAGTAACAGGTGAGATTTTATTTAGAAAAAAAAATTTTATTTCATTATTTAGAGTGCAATTTTTATTTGAACTATTTTGGTAGTTAGAAAAATTAAAATACGCTTTTATTCAAAATTAAAAATGATTTTTAAAGAAAAATAGAAAAAATTTTTTTTTTTTAATTTATAAATTGATTTGAAAATTTTTATAGAAATTTATCAAGGAATTATTTTAAGGAATTACATTTTTTAATAATAGTTTAATGAGGTTAAACTTATTTAGATTATTTAATTTTAATATTCTCAAATAAATATAAGTTTAATCATTATTTATAAATCAAATTTTGGTTTATTAAATAATGATTTTTGTTAAATTGCACTGTACTTTCTAACTATTGATTTTTTTGAAGATATAAGCTCATTCTGATGTTACACTCATCAAGAGCTTTCATTTAAGTACCCACATGCATTTTGATATATTTTTCATATATTCATATATATATAAATATATAAAATATATGAAAAATTGATGTAGGTATTCAAATGAAAGGTCTTGATGAGTATAACA